AAAAAAAAAAAAAAAAAAAAAAAAAAGAAAATGATGGAAGGGCTAAGCAAGTAGTGGTGGGTTTACGAAGGATGGGTCTTGGAAGGGGACTTTTGTGTGTGATCAGCTGGTCCGAGATTGGAAGAGGATTGTTTATAAGTTTTTCTAAAAATTAAATGTTGCTGTCCCAGAAGTATTGATAGAGGACCAAAGTTTTGTTCTCTGTATTTGAAACAACAAGGTTTTCTTAGAATATTAATCTATTTTTTGAGTTTTAAAAAAAGTAAAAAATTACAAGAGGGTTTAATTTTACTTCTGCCATCTTTTTTTTTTTTTTTGCAATCATCTTACGAATCACAGCTTTTTCCTGTGTTGTCATTTCTACCCACTTTCAGGCTGAAATGCCGTCTTCTACACTTTCAATGCTCATTTCATTTCTCTAGGTAGAACCTTCATCTTGAAGCTTTTCAGATTCATATTTATCTCAAGGGGTTAGCTTTTTATGCAACTCAGTCTGTGTGATTTACAGGTCATGGTCATGTATCATTGTCTTCTGCTCTTCCTCCTTTTCTCCTTTAAAAAGCTGTATATTTTGCCTAAAGTGGTGACTCTCTCTTTCCCTCAGCTTTTTTTCTTTTTTTTCTTTTCTCTAGTGTTTACTTAAGGCCAGTTTTACCTCGGAGCTGCTGAAACAGACTGCTGTGAGGGTAACTCTAGTTTTACCTTCTGCTGTCCCTCATCAGTCAAATCTTGCCCACTCCCCAAAACTTTGCTAGTGCCAATACATAACATTTCTATTACTAATAAAACCTCCTAATAACATTTCTATTACTAATAAAACCTCCAACTTTTTCTTTGTACTTTGGACATACTGGAGACCACCCAGTATCTGTGAATTGTAATTGTGTTTTCCCAGATAAAATGGCTTGTTTAGAGATTTGTCTCTATATTTTTACTTAACTCTGATGCAACCCATCTACATATATTCTTACTGTGCCACATTCTAGGCACTGTGCCAAGTATATTACATACTTTCTCATTTAACTCTTCTAACACCTCTTTGGTATCATCACTGCCGTTAGCAGTATAATTTGTAAAAGTTAGTGTCTGGCCCAAGGTTTAGCTGAAGTATTATATATGGAACTCATGAAAACAAACTTGTAGAACTTTGCTTGCTGATGTGAACACTGCCCAGGCAAGGTTTAGTATACCTGTACTGAGATACTAAAGATAGTAGTGGTCAGGGGGTTGGGAGAGGCATAAATGTGAGTTCAACTATCATACTTTTCTTCATTTTAAAGTTCTGTCTAGCCATTACACCTGAAATTTATCCACACTGTAACTGGACTGACTTCTGTATCATCAGTTGTCCTAAGTTTCCTTTTTAGAGCTTGGTGTCTTTGTGGTCTGACTGGTAAAGATTTAGGCTTAAACACATGGCACCCATCACTGAATCATCTTTTTTTCTAGGGGATTTCTCTGAGGAATCTTATGGTGGTTCAAAGACCTAGTGGAGCAGTGCTACTCAGCTGGGGCTGGGGACCAGTGAGGCAAGCACAGAAATTGCAAGATTTTATAGGCTTTCACAGCCATTTAAAAGTAACTTTATGTCTATGAGACCTAATAATACCAAATTGACCCTTGCATTTACGGTATCCTTTATTTTTCACTTCCTTTTTCCTCTTAATTTTTACAGTATTTTACATGAGAGACTGCATATACAAAGATAATGGGTGGGCTGTATATAAAAACAGAATTCAACTACCTGCAAAGACCTGCCAAGAAAACCAGGCAGGTCTTCTCTATTATGTAATACCCAACCTGGGAAGCCAGCCTGCTGTAACGCCAGCTCACAGAAAGCTAGATTGCTGTCTCTATTAACAACCCAGGGAGCTGAACAGTAACTTCTGTAACAACTGGCCTCCAATGGCCAGGACTTGATTAATCACTGACAGCTTCCCTGACTTTTGGCCTTTGATTTAGGACCATCCATCCAAAGGCAGATCAAATAGACCCTCCTACCCACTCCTCTATGAAGACTGAACTCTTAACATTTTTTCTTTTGCCCAAATTCTTTTCTAAGACACCTGGTAAGTCATGCCTGCAAACGTAATCTCACTAAAAGGTTATTAACCAGACCTGATTCTCGCATAGCTTCACATGAGCTATAGAAGGTGGCTTTTTCTTAACTCAGACATTCCTTTTTACTGACTCCAGGTCTTTACATAAAGCTTAGTTTAGGCGTCCTCAAACTGCGGCCCACCTAGGACATTTATCTGGCCCACCAGCTGTTTTTGCTGCTGCTGCCTGTCCTGCTTAGCAGCTGATTCGTCCCGGGCCCTCCAACGGTCTGAGGGACAGTGAAGTGGCTCCCTGTTTAAAAAGTTTGAAGACCCTTGGCTTAATTCTTTCACCCATTTGTTAACTAAAGAATCCCTAAAAGCCACCCATGACTTACAAACTTCTGCTTCTAGACGTCCTGTCTTTTCAACCGAACCAACGTATACCTTCCATGATTTATTTTACTTGCAATTCGTGTCTCAAAACCAAACTCCTCGAGTGCATTTTCTCAAGACTTCTTGAGAACTTGTCCCCATGGTGGTAGGTCATACACATCCTGCTTAAAATACTTTTTTTTTTTTTTTAAATAAAATTCTTTTAAGAGTTTGGCACACCGCTTGGCGGCTCACACCTGGTAATCTTAGCACTCTGCAAACCAGAGACAAGCTGACTGCTTGAGTTCAAGAATTTGATACTCATCTCTACCAAACATAGAAAAACTAGCTTGACGTTGAGGAGGGTGCCTGTAGTCCCAGCTACTGGGGAGGCAGAGGCAAGTGGATCGCTTGAGCCCAAGAGTTGGAAGTTGCTGTGAGCTGTGACGCCATGGCATTCTACCCAGGGTGAACGTGTGAGACTGTTTAAAAAAAAAAAAAATTAGAGTTCGGATTTTTTCGTTGACACACAGGACACGTTCCTCCTCTAGACAGCCTGCTGCCAGCATCCCCAACAGCCCCTCAGAGCCCAGCTAGAGCTGCCCTCCTTCCCCGGTGAAGCTCCCCCGCTCCTCCGCCTGCCTTTGGGGGCTGCTCCCCTGCTATAGCAATCTCCGAGTGAAGAGCCTTTGCTTTTTCCCTTTGGACGGCCTTCATTTATTTCCACATACTACTGGGGCCGGGGGGAAGCAAAGCCCGGCGGTCCGCCAGAGGTACCTTGAAAAGCCCCCGCCGCGGGCCTTGGAGGTCCCTCTAAGCAAGAACCTCAAGAACCAAAGAAAGTAGAGCACCCGGCACGCAGCGCCCGGGCTGCGGGGATAAGGGATTGACGTGGTCTGGACCCGGAGCGGGTTGGACTGGGGGGAACAAGGGGACCGAGGGCACAAACTCCTCTCCGCACAGGGAGACCGGACCACCGGCTCGGCGCTTCCTTACTTCCGGTTCTCTGTGCCAAGGATTTTGATGGGGGGGGGGGAGCGAAGTTTCTACGCCCGCTCGCCTCACAGTGACGTCACGTCCGGCGGCTCCGGCGGCGGCGGCCGTGGGGTTGTGTATCTCGGGCCGGCGGGGCGCGCGCTGCTGTCCCGCGGCTTCTCTCCCCTCTGGAGGAGCCGTCCTCGCGCGCTGGACCCCTGGCCCTGGCGGCCCCCACGGTCCCTGCCTGCCAGCCAGTCGGTCAGCGCACCGGGCCCGGTTTTCTCTGCCTCCCCCGGACCGCTTAGTCTCGACCCGGGTGTTTCCACTACTAGAGGTGAAGCAAACACAATAAAGAGAAGGGGACCTGGGGCCTTGGACCAGGACGTTTTTACTTTCCCCAAGTGGACGTTCACGGGCAGGAGATAGTATTTATAATTATTTCCTGCAGGAAGACGCCTTTGTCATAATGGCACAGTCTAAGAATGAGTGTCTTTAGGCAACAAGGACCTTATCTCTGCAATTGTTTGGATGCTTTTGAAGAGATTCCCAAACTATTTTGCGTTTTAATGCTTAAAAAAATTTTTTTAAACATCTGGTCCTGAAAGGTCAGCGCCCTTAATTCTTTTTCTGAAAAAAAATCCTAATCTTTCCTGCAACTGTTCGGTTGCAGAGAGTGTCTTTTCAGGAAGGAAGAGAAACCCTTCCCTGGTCATTGGGGAAATCTTAGGTTTTTTTAATACCTAAGATTTACTCTGTTTTGCACTGACGCTAAGCATTTGATGAGGCAGTGCAGTACTTTTGGGGAAATGGATTACGTTTTTTTCTGTTCTTGAAATGCCAACCTAATCCCATCTTTTCTTGATGATTTCCCATCAGAGGTATGAAGGTTATTGTGAGAGGATCTCAGACCACTTTGAATTCTGATGCCAAATTTAAAATCGTTTTTCTGTTTTCAACTCTATGTTGTCCCTGTCAACTGGCTATATTCCTTACCCTCCCCTGGTTATAATTGAATACCATTTTTTGTGTTGTGGGTTTTGAATTTTGACAACTACATTTGACATAATTGGGCTTAAAATCAAAGAAAACATTTAGGGACTTAACGGCTTTTTACTTATATATAGCTTAACTTTTCATTTTACAAAAAGCCACTTTTAGGAAACACAGAAGAAAAGCAAAAAAAAAAAAAGTATCTGGAATCTTACCTAAAGATAATCATCACTACTAACCTTTTGGAATATAGTTTTAATTTTTAAATGGAAAATATTTGTAAAAACAAAAATAGACTCAAAATGTATACTGTTTAGTAACCCCTTTTGTATGACATTTTTGCATTGCTTCACACGTCTTTCTTTTTTTTTTTCTTTGCACCTTCACAATGACTACAGAATATTTCATTGTGCCAGGCACCCTCATAAGAAAAGTAGAAACCCTAATTTATTAATCTTAGGCCATCAGTTTGAACCACTCAGAGGACTTAGGACTTACACGATGGTTTTTGACCAAGATGCACAAGTGAAGGTGTTCTAGAATTGTGTAAAAGGAGAGATTGAGTCCCATAAGGGCAGAGTTTCAGGAATATCAGATTTATTGAAAAAGTGCAGAAAATCACTGAAAATGTTTCTAATTCTTTATTCTTTGTTTCTAGGTTCACTTTCCACCCTCCCTCTCTCTCTCTTCCCTCCAAGAATGAAACATGACTGAGGACTCTCAGAGAAACTTTCGTTCAGTATATTATGAGAAAGTGGGATTTCGTGGAGTTGAAGAAAAGAAATCATTAGAAATTCTCCTGAAAGATGATCGCCTGGGTGAGTTTTATAAGTAAAGTTAACATCATTGCTCCTTAGTCATTTTGGATGTTTGGAGTAAATATTACCTTAATAGACATCCAGAGTTATTTGTTACTTGCCATATTTTTTAGGGATATGATGACAGCAGAGTTAAATTTATATTTCATTAAGAGTCATAAGTTTTTGAAAAGCCTGTTAGGACATCAGTAATATTTTTTCTATTACTAAACCCATATATTTTTTTCTCTGTTTCCAGGTGTGTCTTGTAGCTTCTGAGTAAACTTGCAGTAACTCTGGTCATACTTTTCTTTATGGAAGTACTAAGACTGCATTGTATATTGATATTTTCGTTTATTTTAAGCTTATTTAAGTTTATTTTAAGGAATAGTAACATCTGTTGTTGACCAAAGTTAAATAAACTAAACCATAGTTTAAAATACTTTATTTGCGTAGAGTTCTTGTAGAGTTTCAAGAATATTTCCCACCTGATCTTTGATCCTCACTAAATAGTCTATGCTTTAGTATGTCTGATAGGTCTGGTGTTCTCCTTTGATAAGCAGAAGAATTGATGGCCAGGGAGTTAAGTGTAATTTATTGGAAAATGTGGGGATTTGAGGGCTGACTGTGCCACTTCCTGGTTATTTTTACTTGATTAAGTCACTTAACTACTTTGAGGTTCAGTTTCTGCATCTTTTGAACAATAACTCCCTGATAGGCTTGCAATGTGAATTAAATGAAATAAATTAGTAACTACTGTCAATGTTATAAGGGAATGTAGTAATATGCATAATCCGTAGTCTATGCTGTAAAATGTTAACTGTTTTAAAATAACTTAGATGGTAATAGACCTGGGCTAGAAATCATATTAATATTGTCTTTCCTAAGTTTGCTGACCATAAGGTAGACTTCCTCTGAAGAAATTTGTTTATATTTACAGCTTTTAAAAATGAAATGCACTTTTATGTACTTCAATCAGCATGAAAAGCTTCTAATTGTTTTTTTCTTTCTCTAGATACTGAGAAACTTTGTACCTTTAGTCAGAGGTTCCCTCTCCCGTCCATGTACCGTGCATTGGTATGGAAGGTGCTTTTAGGTAGGAGATCCAAAAGTTCAAAGATTTATCTTCAAAAATATTGAATAAAGGGGATGGGCGTGATGGCTCATGCCTGTAATCCTAGCAGTCTGGGAAGCCGAGATGGGAGGATTGCCTGAGCTCAGAAGCTGGAGACTAGCCTGAGCCAGAGCGAGACCCTATCGCTAAAAATAGCCTGGCATTATGGCAGGCATCTGTAGTTCCAACTACGTGGGAGGGTGAGGCAAGAGGATCGCTTGAGCCTAAGAGTTCGAGGTTGCTGTGAGCTATGATGACATGGCAAAATGAGATTCTGTCTCCAAAAAAAAAAAAAAAATGGAATAAGGGGATCATTTGTCATCTTATTAGTCAGAAAAAAAGAGGATTTATTTAGGCCCTTTACTGAATATTGGGTCTTCTTTATGTTTTGAGCAGACTTAATTTCTGCTCACTATAAAATTCTTTAAGAAGGTGACTTCATTAGCAGTTTATTAAGCATTAACTCTAGGAGTGCTAGTATATTTATGATAGAGGAGAAAATAACATTACTCAAGATGTGGGAAGAGCATTGGATTGGCAGATGTGGGAAGAGCATTGGATTGG